AATATGACCTATTTTTTCTGTATTGCGAGTATGGTAAATATCTTACTAAAAAAAAGACAGTAACGTATCGAAGATATGACATTCTTCGTCTCCTCACGAAAGAGTTTTTAATCACCGCTCGATGATGGGAGGTGGGGTTGAGTAGAAAAGGGGGGGGGAGAGGGTGAGGGTGAGACAAATACTGAAAATAGAAATTACTAAATCTGAAGGAACTAGGAGGAAGGGGTTAGAGGGAGGGGGGGGGGGTTGAGTAGAAAGGGGAAGACCAGACCGCATGTCGCTTGATTAAGAATAGTTGGAGGAAATTGAGGAAAACTACTCCCTCATTCCGAGGGTATTAGAGCGGATGTACGTCACATGAATACTCCCGTGGTGGCTTTTACCACGGAGATTGATTACAGCCCTTGTGTCTAAATAAACCACACACCTTGGGCTGACCGGAGGACCAACATTAAATATGTCTGGCCCGTAGTTACGGAGATGTGGCTGGCTTGGACATTTATTTCTTCTCATGAAAATGCATACGCACGTTTAATCATGCTAGTAAGAGACATCTTTAATCTTTTTCAGATAAGTAAAGATATGATAATACGTTATTATCCCAATCGGCTCTTATTTGACCTTTTTGTGTTGCGAGTGCCGTAATTCTCTTATTTAAAAGGAAAAAAACGTCACTAAGGTATTGAAGACGTGGCATTGTTCCTCTCATCTCGAAAGAGTTGCTCACTGTTTATATTCCGGCATATTTTATTATATCATTCAAGACCAGTGGTATACAATGTCGTTTATCAAATGTACTTTGTGAAGACGAGCAGCAGTGAATGAGACGTATTATTTATTTTTAGTTTGGAACCCAAAAAGCAGGGTTTAGGAAGGGGGGCAGCAAGAAGGTGTGGTGGAGAGAGAGAGAGAGAGAGAGAGAGAGAGAGAGAGAGAGAGAGAGAGAGAGAGAGAGAGAGAGAGAGAGAGAGGCAGAGAAAACCCAGAGGGAGAATGATAAATAACAAAATCGTTTTACTCGTTTCCTTGAGTAAAGAGAAGAACGTCTATACAATAACGTCCATTAAATGCAAAGAAAAAATAGACAGGCAGACAGATAATGGCATAGCCAGGAAGCTAGATAGAAAGGAAAGGAGACAGAAGCACATCGGCACGATAACAGTTATTCAGTGCAGTGAAAACGAATGACAGACAGGCCGTAACAACAGCAGAAGGAAAGTAAAACAGTAGGACCTACAGTTGTAGTACTAAAGGCACCGTCCAATCCACTCGCCCCTGCGTGGTAGTTACTAGTAACTGTCCTTATCAACTCTGCCTCAGACATGGGGCAGGCTACCCTGAGGAAGGGAAGGGAGTACATCTCAATAGTCAGCGATGTACAACGTCAGTCCACCCCCAGACTGTCTCCATTGGGTACCGGCGGGGAGATTTCAATCGATCAGCAGCAGTTCCATAGCGTCCCGAAAACGATGTTCTGAGAAATGAGAATAGCCGAAACACGACGGACCGGTAAAGTGGGTAATATTTATATCAAAGGACACGCAACGTACTCCCCAACCCCTCCTAGCTGCCACACTTCGCCCCCCCCCCCCCCAAAAAAAAAGTCCACTCTACCCTTTCTGGAGGGAGGGGGTGGGGACGCAAAGGGTGACATGTATCGGATAGAGCACTTTGCCTGGAATCCAGAAGTCCTAGATCGAATCTACAAAGAACTCACTTATTTTTCCCCCCTTTTTCCTTCAGACAATTCATGGAGTTATTTCAGGGGTTGGGTGGTGTGGGAAATAGATTAATGTGTGCATATCTATCTATCTATCTATCTA